TAGTTTATTCTAACAATCGCTGTTTTTTAAGTGGTGTATTTACAAAACACATTTAAAATGATTATTGATAGTAGAATTAAAATCTACTATATTTGTTATTGTTTTATATTTACTGAACTTTTCCTCTTTTTTGTCCCCACTCTTTTTTGCCTTTTGTATTTTAATTGAGTATTTTATATGATTTCTTTTTTCCTCTCTTAGCATATCAGTAATACTTCTTTTAATCTTATTTTATTATTGGCTTATGAGTTTGCAGCATGCATTTATAAATAATCTAAGTCCATTTTCAAATAACACTATACCGCTTCATGGGTAGTGCAAATACCTTATAACACAGGATTCTCAATTCCTCCCTTCCATCTTTTATAACATGCTGCCGTTCATTCCACTGACCCAAACACTAAAATCACCGAATAAATTCTTACCATTATTATTTTGAACACACAGTTATTTATTAGATCAATTCAAATAAGAAAAATAAAAGATTTCATTTACCATCATGTGTTCTTTCTCTAACGCTCTTCTTTATGCAGATCTGATTTTCAAGACTGATGTCATCTTCCTTCTTTCTGAAGAACTTCTTTTAACTCTACTCGCAAGGCAGATCTACTAGCAAAATTATCCTCAACTTTTGTCTGTATGAGAAAATCTTGATTTCTTGTTTATTTTGCTGGATAATTTTGCTGGATACATAATTCCAGGTTGAAGGTTTTTTCTTTCAGCACTTTTAATATTTCATTTCACGGTCTTCTTGTTTGCATGGTTTCTGAAAAAGAAAAATGATGTCATTCTTATCCTTGATCATCTATAACTAAGGCATTTTATTCCTCTGGTTTCCTTCAAGATTCTCTTTTTATCTTTGATTCTTTGCAGTTTGGGTATATATGCCTCGGTGTAGACAAATACCAGTCTGGTATTAATTCTGCTTTGTGTTCTCAGATCTTCCAGGATCTGTGGTTTATTATCTATTATTAATTTTAGAAAAGTATCATTCATTATCACTTACATATTTTTCCTGTTCTTTCTTTCTTTCTTCTTCTGGCATTCACAGTATGTATGTGACAATTTTGTAACTATTCTACAGTGTTTGGATATTTTGCTTCATTTTTTGCGTTTGTTGTTTTTTATATTTCAGATTTAGCTTCTATTGATATATCTTTAACATCACTGATTCTTTTCTCTACTGTGTCCAATCTATTTATATGCCCATTAAAGGCATACTTCATTTCTGTTCTTCATTTATTATTCCTAGCATTTCCTTTTGATTCTGTCTTAGAGTTTCTATCTCTCTGTTTACTTTATCAATACATTCTTGCATGTTTTCCACTTTTACCATTATAGCTCTTAGCTTATTACTCATACTTATGTCTGAGGGTTTCAATATTTTTGCCATATCTAAATCTGGTTCTGATGTCTGCTCCATCTCTTGAACTGTGTTTTTTGTCTTTTAACATGCTTTGTAATTTTTTGACAGCCTGACATGATGCACTGGAGTAGAAGGAATTAGGCTTTTAGTGAGAGGTTTTATGTTTATCTGGCGAGAGATTAGGCTGTGTCTACTCTTTGCTGTAAGGGTAGATATCAGGAGTTAAAATTCCCCTGTTGTCTTTGTCATTGTCTTCCCTGTTGTCTTTGGGTCTCCAAAGAGATTTCTTTAATCATTAACATTCATGTTTTCTATTACCTCTTCATATCTGTTTTTGAATGTTTTCATCCAAAAGTATGTTTGTTTCAGTGCTGAGAAGTTGCTTTCATAAATTTTTCCATAAACATAAATTTATACATTTAATAAGATAATATGTATTAAGGCATCATTTTAGTCTATTTCTTTTTTATTCAGCAAGTTTTCTTCAAGTCTTTTTTCTCCTAAAGTATAAGCAGTTGCTTTATCACCCTTGCATATAATATAATCTTTATATATTAAAATATATAAACTTCATTATAATATATGTATTTATATATTCTTTGAATACATGTTTTTTTAAAAATTTCATAACAAATGATTAGATTATAATATATAATGTTCATTATCACTATATTAATGAGTATATGTTGAACCAAATTTAGAATTTTAGAACAGAAATAGCCAAATTATTCATCCCACAATTGGTTTTAGAAAAGTACTTCAAATAAAAAGTTATTGTTACAGGATAAATTGGTTTTTCAGTAAAATGTGTGTAACAAAATATAAAATTAGAAACAAATGAAATGATAATTAATTGCCTTTAAAGGATATTAGCCATTTTGCTTTTTCAAATAGAAGTTTAAAAGTTATTTTAAAAAATCTCTTCCTGAGAGTTATCTCACACACACACATACATACAAACTCTTAAGAGCCAATGAATTTTATTTCTATTGAAAGACAAGAAATACATACAATAATTTTAGCCTTGGTGGGTTTCTCACTGACCAACATTATATAGAGTCCTTAAATGAGCCTCCTAATTTTTTCTTTGGTCATTGTGGCTGCAGAAACACTTGATATAATGTACAATTGTTCAACTTAATATAATGATGGTATTATAAATACATGTTATTATTACAACATCCCATGAATTTGTCAGAGTTTCACTTCAATCACCTAATTAGTTAGTGAAGTTGATCAGAATTTACTTGGACTATATTAGAGTGGAATAATGAGATAAGATCGATTGATATTCTTTGGGGAGTTAATGCTTGTGATGGGGTCTGCGGGGGTGGGGGGAGTTGTCATCTGTCAGGGGGTGTCCTGGTGAGGTTTTGAGGAGTAGAGTGAAAGGACAATGAAAGAAAAGGGAATTTGGCCAGAGCATGCAGGATTGATTCAAGATTTAAAAGACTGAAAACAGAGAATAAAATAAAGTGTAAATAAAATAGATACATGGATCAATAAAATACATATATGCTAGAGTTTTGGGGGGAAATAGAAATGTTGGGGTTATATTTCATACAATTATTTTTTGAACTGATTTTTGCAGAAATGAAGTTACAAAATAAATAAAGTAAAAGTTATTTATTTTTAAACCTTTGTGAATTAACCTAGGATTTATGCAAAAATAACTCATGCCCTGGCTGGTTTGACTCTGTGCTTGGAGCAATGGCCTGCTGACCAGAGAGTCCTGGGTTCTGTTCCCGCTAGGGGCACGTACCAAAAAGAAAAAAAATAAAATAACTCATGATTCGGTGTATACCATAGAGGAATCGGGACTAAACATCCCTGTGTGGTTGTTGATTGGCAATAAAAGAAACGGTGGAAGAATTGTACTGTTATCAAGTTGAAGTGAAAGTTTCATATCTTTTTATTTTGAAGTTTAAAAATCGTGGGGGGAAGTTTGCATACATTTGACAACTAAACAAATCCTAGAGCTGAAGACTCTTTAGGATGAGTATTCACTCTTGTGAGACTGGAAACAGTCAACTGACCCAGATTCCTTTCATGCTGAGTCTTAGCACATTTAATTCATTGAGAAATTAATATAAAAAGTGACTTTGGCTTAAGAAATATCTGTTTCCCCAAAACGTCGGTGTTGTAGTCTCACTTTTTCGATTTTCAAACTGTGCAAGTTTTCTATTTTTTTTTTTTCTGTTTATCCGCCTTGATTTATTTTTGGTGTTTTGTTTAACTTCCATTAACAATGGAGTTTCTGATTTGACTTTAGACTTTTTGTAGTGGTGAACATTGACAACATGCTTAATTTCCGAGTCTGGATTTTTTGGCAGTTCTTGGTAGTATTTCTGGAATGTCAATATAATATCATATGTAGCAAGATGAGTGGTATTATCTCCTTATGATAGTATACATTTTGGGTAAACTTTTACAGGATAAATTATCTGTAGATAAATTTTGACACTAAGAAAAAAAGCAAGAAAGTGAGATTTTTAACAAAGGGGAATGTCATTGAACAAAAAGACTATTACAATGGAAGAAAATTACTATCCATGTATTTTCTCTGAGTCACACACACACACACACACACACACACAGCATCTAGGAAACTAATAACTGTAAAAGTTAAGTATAAAAGAAAATATAAGAACATCTTTTCAGATTTACCTTTTTTGTTGTTTAAGTAGAGATTTTTATTTGAAGAGAGATATAAATGATGTTGTTTTTATTTTGAACTGTTTTTACTGTTCAAAAAAATGATTAGAACTTGGCACAGTGGTTGGTTTTAAAGCTAACTGTATTTCTATTTCATTTCTTCTTTGTTGCATCTGTTAGTCCTTGCACTTTAAAACATCCTGAATATTGATGTTAAGTAATTTCAGGAAGATTTTCTGTGAAAATGTTAAATATTTCCTCCACATTACTTAGGTTTCTGAAATTACTCAGAGTCATAGACCATGAGGATTGTCCTCTAGTTAGATGACCTTAGTCAAACACAGATGATGTTCTTTAGCAATGAGAAATTCTAGTTGTACACCACCACTAGCTTTTCAAATGCTTGAACAGTTATAGTTTTTACCGTGTCCAATTTGATATACAGAAATTAATATGACAAACCAAAGGTTTACTTAATGGAAAATACCCATAGGCTCACGTCATGACCACGGTACATACATATAGACAATATGATCGTCAAGGTATTGAGCTGTCACTTTGCCAGACTCTGTTCTCTTGTTAATAATCCAAATGCCCACAGAAAGCAGAATCGGGATTCCAATGCAGGCAGTATGGCTCCAAGATTCTCCTTTGGACCACCAAGCCATGCTTTTGAGATGGTAGGTTTATCACACGGCCAATTAAAGAGAAGGACTAGTCGTATTTTAATCTGTAGCAGCTGACAGCATACATTATAGAGAAATAAAATTAGTCCCCACATGTCAAAAACCTGAAAACATCAACTCAGTTTAGAATACCCTCCAGGCCTACTTCTTTCTTAAAGCCCATGGAAATAAGCAAAAACAATTTGATAGTGGTTCCCATTCACTCTGAGAAGATTCTACTGCCTTTGTAGAAGATGCCCAAGTATACTTCTAATATCCAAACCATAGAGTTGTTTTTTCTCACCCATTATTAGGTGTATACCATTGAGGAATCTGGACTGAACATCCCTGTGTGGTCAGTGATTGGCAATGAAAGAACCGGTTGGATGTACGGACATGTACATCTCTCCAGTAACAGTCCATTTAAGGTGACATTTGAAGCTGATTTGAGTGGAAATGAAGACATCTTTATTGCCCTTGATGACATCTCCTTTACCCCAGAATGTGTATTTGGAGGTAAGTGATTCCTTCAAATAGTGGTATATGCACATTTAGTTTTTTATATCTAAATACACAAGAATTGTGAATTTCTGAGGAATTTCCTTTCTTTCCACGTTCAGTCCTAGTCATATAGTAAAGAAAGACCAGTCTGTATGGTAGGAGTAAAGTTTTTCTGCCCATGACACTTCATTATGAAATTGTTATGTCATCTGGGCAACAAAATAATTTTGACTAATGTGTTTTTAAAATCATGGCAGAAATTTAGTTTCATTAATATAACTTTACTGTCTACTCCCCTTCCTAAGGTTTGCAGTAATTGCACAAGGCAAAGACACCTATGGTCACCTATCATGTTCCCGACTGTCTTTTCCATCCATATCCACTTCACCGCTTCCCTCGGCTCCTTCCCTCCTCCCATTTCTACTCTGCAATCTGGAATTCTTAGTCTACTGCATAAAGGAAATGAAAATCCTGTCACTAACTCCTTTTCCAAGAAATCATCCCCTAAACTGAAACCCGAATTTCTGCTGCGTAAGATGTTTCCACTTAAATGGCTCTTTGTCCTTTAATAACTTTAGTCTTCAAAATTTCAGTGCTAGACAGTAGGGTCATTGTCTTTCTCCTTGATACCGCTTCCAAAATTTTGTTCTAGCCACACATCTGGGTTATTCTTTTTATGATTTTTCTTTTTACCCTAAATCCTGGGAATCTCAACTTCCAGGTGATCCAGCCCGTGTAAGACACTGACCTTCAGTTCTAGTCACCTTCATAAATAATTTTCCTCATTAACCAACCCTCATAGCTACATTCTGGACCTTGTAATACCTTTTGAAAATTTAGGGTTAACATTTTCATCTAATTCATGGGTATTCTACTTCTTGATTACTCCTTCTAAACCCAGGGGTTTCCAACATAATTAACAAGAAAAATATAATTCTAGATTTTCAATGCTTCATGCTTTCTTCAAAAAAATTAAAAAACAAAACCTCTCTTTATACTTTTTTCTTAACAATTCCAGATGTAATGATCTAACACCTCAATTCCATTCTAAATCAGCAATTCTATTACGTCCTATTTTTGTTTTTCATTTTAACATAAATTTGGGTTCTAATTATGTGCCAGGAACTCTGCTAAGTATGTTGCATGTATTTATCAGACCATCCCTATAGAATAGATACAAATATTTAGCTCATATTTGGTCATAATAAGTTTATCTGTCTTTAATATTGAATTATCATGACCATTTGTATTTTCCAAATTGCTGATGGTTTTGCTCATTGGGACAACTGGAAATTTTGGTTTATCACCTTAGCTGGACCTTCAAGGTTCCTAGAAACATGTTTCCCATTGCATAGCACTGTTTTTCCACAATAATTCTCAAATGCTCCAACTTCTTGAATTGAACTTTCTTCATTCTTTCAGTGCTCTTATATCCTATATCTTCGGTTTCTTTTCTTTACTGCTCATTCTTAGCTCTTGTCACACACACACACGAACTCACACACATGCACACACACATATAAGTTTTCACTAATTTTGAGCTCCTCGAGACCAAGAGGAGCTTATCTACTTCACCTCTGAGCCTAACACAAGAACTAGGAAACTTGGAACCCAGTTTAGTGGGGTCGAGATGAGTCACATGGCTGCTGCTAGGTCCACAGATGGGTACATGGCTGGCAGGCCTGTTGCAGGGATAGAGGTGGACATGGCTCCTGCTGGACCCCCATGTGCATGAGACCGCCTCCAGGACCGTGGTCCAGCAGGGCAGGAGCCAGATCATGGGATCACTTCTGGGTCTGAAATCAAGTCAGTAGATGGCAGACCTGCGACCAGGACTCTACACATAGGTGGCTCCCACTGTATTCTTGGGTGGGTCCCAAGGCGTGCAGGACGGCCTCCATTGCTGTCAGAGAGCAGGGCTGTAGCTAGATCATAGGGCTGCCTCTAGATCCAGCGTCTTGTCCAGTAGCAGGCCTGTTATTGAGCATGCTGGTGGGTATGGTTCTCGCCAGGTCCTTGCGGGGGCAGGTCTGACTTTTGATCATGGTAGAGCAGGACTCAAGACAGGTCACAAGGCTGACTCAGGAACCACAGTTAGGTCCAGGTCAGTTGGCCTGTCACTGGGGGCACAGTCAGGCATGTCTCTGGACATTTCTGGGTGAGCAGGATTGCCCCGGACCATGGCAGAGCCGGGTTGGAACTGAATCACAGGATAGATTCGGGGTCCACGGCAGGACTCATGTTAACAGGCCTGTTTTCCAGGGACAGAGACAAGTGCAGCTGGTCCCTGTGTGGGCAGGAGTGACTCTAACTTCTATAGGAGGGCTGGTCTGGGACTGGAGCCAGGTCTCAGGACTGCACCAAGACCCCCAGTGGAGCCCAAGGGCAGTGGGCCTATTACTGAGGGCACAGACAGGCATGGCTCCTCCCAGATCCCTTGGAAAATGGAGCTACTGTAAAACTTCAGCTAAGCAGGGCCGTTCTGTGTCCAGTGGAGGACAGGACTACTTTGCGTCTGTAGCAAGGATTGCATTCAGTGAGGTCCTGCCTTCTCAAAGTGGCTCTCCTGGTCTTGGGCTCACAGGGATTTCACAACGTCCTTCCTGGATCTGAAAGCTCCTCCAAAGACACCCGGTCCATGGATAGCTGCCAGAGCATCGCCTGTGGGGAGGGGGTGGGGATGGGAGCCAGGGCCCCGTATTCAACCGTCATTCTGATGTCACGCTCCTCATACAGATTTTTTAAAGGCTTTCAAGAAGAAAAGATGTATGTATGCCTCAGTAACCTTGAATGAAAACAATCTTTGCCCTGGCCGGTGTGGCTCAGTTGGTTTGAGCATTGTCCCCTACACTAAAAGTCATGGGTTCAATTCCCAGTCAGGGCACCTACCCAGGTTGCGGGTTCCATCCCAGGTCGGGGCATGTGTGGGAGGCAACTGATCAATGTTTCACTCTCGCTTTGATGTCTCTCTCTCTCTCTCTCGCTCTCTCTCTCTCCCTCAAAAGTCAGTAAAACCATGTTCTTGGGTAAGGATTTTAAAAAAAAATTTTTCAAGTGTTAGTACTGAGCCTGGAAAACTTCATTTCCTAGCCATGCTGGATAAAGAAGCATTATTTTCCTATAAAATTCAGCAGTCAAATTTTGATACATTTGTCTCCGATATATTTGTGTCGAATGAAAATTCCCAGAATAGGATGGTTTTCCAGTAAAACATAGTTGTAAAAGGATGCAAAACTCCTGAGAGCACAGGATGTGCCACTGTAGCTGGCCGGGGACCAGGCGGAGCAGGGCCACCCGAGGCCGGCCTGTGGGTGCGGGTCCTTGACTTCCCGGAGGACAGACTTCACAGCTGAGTCCAGACGGGTTTGAGTGCAGGGGTGCTGAAGCTGGGACAGCGAATCAAAGGGGGGACTGAGGGCAGAAGCAGCAGTAGGGCAGAGCCTGGGCGGTGCTCTGCTGGGCTCCCGGACCGGCACAGGAGAGCAGGGAGCCCAGGCAGGGCTGCCTTACTGCCTGGGCGGCCAGAGGACAGTGGGCACGGATCCGGGCCCAGGGCTGAGCCTGGTCGAGCTGCTGCTGCCCACTGCTCCCCGACTTCAAGTCTCCTGGGGACCCTGAGGAAGAAAAAGTTGTCCATGCCCCCGAAGGGACTTCTAGTAGGTGCCTGCCTTGAGTCTTTGTCCTGGGGGTTTAATATCCTTTTTTTTTTCTCTCTCTCTCTCTGCAGCTGAGAATCTTAGGGGAGGGTTTCAGATTATTCATTGCTTTTCAGGTGCATTTTTAATGTGCTGATGCGTCAAAATGAGTGCACAGGGGGGTTGGATTATTCTTTGGTCTATTTTACTGTTTCACATTTATCTTCGGTCTGCCTGGCTTTCATGAGGTTTGTGTTATTTGTTTCCCAACCTCATCTGCCCTTGGGTTTGGCTGGCACAGACGGCATTCATAGGGGCTTTGTCCTCTTTTGTCCCCGGCCAAGGTGATTCCAGCTCCATGTTCTCTGGTTAGGGAGGAGAGGTGTAAACCATTTGCTCTCAAGTGTCCTTGGTTGGGGAAGATACGTTCTCTCGATTCACTAGCTGGATGCAAGTCGTCCAAACTGTTTGGCCTTGTTAATTTTCCCATCGCAGTTTCCCAACTCCACTTGCCCCGCAATTTTCCTACCTTCTTACTATCCTGCCTCACTACCACGGGTGTTTATTGAACAAAGCAGGAAAAAGACGTTTAAATAGATTTTTCCAGTACGCATTGATGTTCTTCTTCATTCAGCCCTCAGAGAAGATGGAACCATGTATACCACCCAAACTGCTTGCTTTTTCCATCTTTCCTTAGTCTAGACGTAAATGAACTAAGGTAGCTAAATTACCTTAGGTAACATTGTTCAGGTCTTATAATAAGACATCCCGATTTTTACATTTAGCCTACCAGCTTTTTCCTTATGTCCAGATGAACATCCTAAGATGGAAAACAGCTCTCAACTTCATTTTCACTACCTTCCTTGCTCTGCCTCCAAATCTGTGCCCTCCCACGGTGCCACGGAAGGTAGAACCACGGCACACGGCACTGGTCACCACACGCTACCTGCAGCTTTCTTTCCACTTAGATTGTCCTGTAACAGGAGCCCCTCCATCACCCCAAAGAATCTTTACTTTCTGCATTATTACTTCTCCATTCTCCCTTTAATTACTTTCAGTTTCCAGGACAACATTTTCTAAATGGGGGCATTCTTGATGCAGGAAAACATCTCCAATAATTCTGAGTCAGCAGAGAAATGCATTTATTTTCACAGAGTCTGTTTTCTTTAGCCCTGTGAGTTCCCAAGGGTTGAAGGTCTTTGCTGTTTTCTCCTATAATTTGAAACAAAGAGGGTCACCTTTTTTTTTTCCATGATGAAGAAACATTTTACAGAGCTGGTAGGATATTACTGGTTTTAAAAATACATAAGATGTTTTGAAGTATTTGAAACAATGGAAGAGGATTATAGGATGCTTGAAGATATGATACATTTCTACATA